TAGGACATTTCTGCAGGTGGAGGGACTCTGGACAGGCCCTTGTGCCATCTTCACAGAATCACAGATTGCTGAGGACTCTGTGGATCATTTTCTTAAGCCTGCCATTACACCAATGAGAAAATCAAGGCCCAGAGAGGCAGAGTGCCTGTCAAAAAGTCACACAGCTGGTCTGTCCTCTCACTAGGAAGAGGAGCAGTGCACCGCCCCTGGGACTTGGGGCTTGGGGTAGGACAGACCTCTCCTGCACCTCAGTCAGCTCTGACCTCCTGGAGAATGGGGTGGTGTCAGCGTTCTACCTTCTTCAGACACCTGGAAGACCAGAGGGCACACAGCACACAACAGCCCCTCCAGGCAGCGGCTCTCCCTCCCCTCCCAGGCTCCATGTCCCACTGGGCCTTCAAGAGTGTCTCATTATGCCTGGAGATGCCACTCCTCCAGGGGGAGAGGACTTAGAAACCAAGGGGAGGCCAGGGAAGGACCCACCCCCCATCCCTAAGCCCTATTGCAGAATCCCTTCTGACCCAGTTTTGGGTTCTTTTTGCACACCCACACTCCCCACAAACATCTGTGCAGCTCCTCCCCACACTTGTATGGGTTCAGGTGTGGGGGGTCAGAGGGAGGGAGGGGAACTCTCCAGGAGCCCCTGTGTGACTCATACTCCCCATGGGCCTACTTCGTGCTCAGAAAAACAGGAAAGTCAGCCTGGTGTGGTCATGCACACCTGTAATCCCAGCTGCTCTGGAGGCTGAGGCAGGAGGATCACAAGTTCGAGGTCAGACTGGACAAACTTAGTGAGACCCTGTCTCAGAATTTAAAAGAAGAGCTGGGGATGTAGCACAGCTACAGGATCACACAAATAAATAAAAGGGGGCTGGGGGTGTTGTGTTGCTCAGTGATAGAGCGCCCCTGGGTTCAATCCCCAGCACCCCAAAACAAACAAAACAGGAGAATCATGCAGCTGGCAGATAATAACACTCCTGAGTCAATGCCCAGGGTCACAGTGGAGTCCCTGACATGCGGGAGGCGCTCAGATCTACCATGAATGAGGGAGTTAGTGGACATGAATGTCCTTCGCATGGGGACTTGGGCCTAGTGTAGGCCAGTTCCAGAGACTATGATGATCCACCTGGTGGTTTCTCTATGGGGAAGGGTATTTCCTGAAACGGATGCCCCAGGCCCTTGCAGAGGCTGCCTCCACATGTACGCATTCTTTCACTATGGAACCATGAAACTCAGAAGGGTGATGTGACAGGCCTGGCATCCTGAACCTAAGCCAGGCTGTCCCAGCACACTGCACCCTGCATCCTGCTGAGTGGACAGCTGCCTTTGGGCTGTTGCTAGGCCTGGTGGGGACATGCCGGTGATGGGCTGCAAGAGACAGGGGGGCTTTGGTCCACCTTCCAAGGAGGTCTGCTCCTGCCCGGGGCATCCTGATAGGACATGAGGCTTTGCTCTTCAGGGTGGACCCTTCCTTCTCGTAGTCACTAAGGATTAGTCCCAGTGTATCCTGAAAAAGCAAAGCCAAAATAGATGACCTGGGTTCAAATCCCAGGTCCCCCACTTCCTAGCTATTTGTCCCTTGGATAAATTATCAATTTTTCTGGTTCTCAATTTCCTCTACCATAACATGGGTAGACTATAAAGGAACAATAACCATCCCACAGGAGACAACGAATATAAAGAGCCCATGGCAGGGACAGCAAGATGCCATGCTCATTGCAGTTGGCAATGGGACATGTATTAACTGTGTGCCTCTGGGTGCCAAGCACTATGCCAGACACTTGCAAATAAATTAAAATTTTATGGAAGTGGAGTACAAGGTAGAGAAGAGCCAGGGAGAAAGAGAACAGTCAGTTCTTCCTCACCAAGCTCTGGGGAGCCTGCCCTGCAGATGCTGTGTAATGGGCCATCTCTTCTCGCGTGTTCACCTCATCTATGTCCTGAGTGTTTTGTTCCAAAGACTTGCGGTAAAGTCCCACCCAGTTTTGCAGGGAGTGAATTTGGAGATAAGAGCACTAGAGAGCAGGGCTTGGAAAAGTTCAAGACTTCTCAGGGCAGGGCACAGCCAGATTTGTGGCCTGGGAGCCTCCCCATCTCCTTGAACATGAATGTCCTCCTCCCTGGCATCAGGACACTGGGCATTAGATGTGCCCACTGGAGGGGAGGATTACTCAGCTGGCAAATCCTGCCTCCCCTATAATCCTAATGCTCAAAGAAAGAATGCTAAACTGAACACCTCCTACCCAGCTCCGACCAAGGCCAAATTGGAGCCACTCCCAAGCGTTCTTCCTCTTCTCTGTTCTCCTGACCCCTTCAATCATACACTCAGTTCTCAACACCATTTATAAAGATATTTTTCCCTCTCCCCACCATTGATTCCCTCAACCCCATTCCCTGAGAAATCGGATCCTCCTCCTGCTTGCCTCCTTCCCACCTGGGCAAACTAGAAGACCTTGAGCCATTGTGTGATGGGTTCAAGCTCAACCTGGCAACTCCTTAGGGATTCAAAAGAAATTCCTCTCTTTCCTGTAGGGAGAGAGCTGCCTGCTGAAAATGTGTATAAAGATTGATGCTACTGTGCCCTGCTGGAGGACCCTTAGCTGTAAGGATGGGAGGCAGAATCTTTACTGGCAAAGGAAGGATAAGAAGTGTTTGTAGTGCTGGCAGAGTTCCTGTTTACAGTCTGTGCACTGCACAACTCCAGGGGGCACCATTCACACTCTGGCACCACTAGAGTTATGCAATGCCCTGGCTCTGGGCTAGCAGCCTCCTTCTTGCCTTTCTGCAGAAGCTGCCAACAGACCCCCATGGCTAGGCCCTCCTACCCAGTCTTTGTTCTACTTCTCTCCTGACCCTGTCCTTCTGCAGCCAGGGCTACCTTAAATGGGGTTTTGGAGGAAATCAGCCCTACTAAAGCTGGAGCCCCCCTCCCCCTCCATCAATATATGCCCCAAAGCTTTCCATGAATCCTATGGGGGTAGGACCTGCAGAATTTCAAATGGGGTGCCTTTCCTCTGATGAACATAGGAGGAAGGGGAAATGGTTGGCACCGATACAGGGAGACAGGTTGGGCAACCCTGTGCTGGGGAGGGGGGGTCAAGCAGTCCGTCATTTATTCTCACCCACTGGCTACTGGAAGCAGGTGGAGAAAGGGAAGTAGAAAGAATCTTTTATTTTTTAACCTTCACTGTTTTGATTAAGCATTTCTTTTCCCTCTGACCTTCACTAGTCCCATTTCGGCAGATCAAACAGCCAGCAGTCCGAGGGAGGCCGAGACCAGTGACACATGGATTCCGGATGGGCCAGCCTGCTGCCGCCCCCTCACTGCTGGGCCCCAGGGCTGCTGCCCAGGCAGCCGCAGGAGACTGCGGCTAATCTGGGCTGGGCCAGCAGGTGCCTGGAGAAGGTTTTGCTGGGGCTCTAGACTCCCGGGCTGGACCAACCCTGGTGGGCAAACACTGGGGACCAACAGTCCCCTCCGGGGGCCAAGCACCTCAGCCTTGAAACCTGGCTGCCTGTGGTTCCTCCTTTCCTTTGTGAATTACAACCCGCCGGTCTGACTTTGGGGAGTAACAGTCACTTGTCTCAGGATAACAAAAAGATCCGTATCTCTGCCTTTTCCCATCATGTGGCTGGAGAGAATATGCATGGTGCATGTTTTTAAAAAAATTTCTAAGGAACTTGTGGATGCACGCAGTTTAGGAGAAAATGAGGAAGGTCAGGTGTGGCCTGTGTTGTACTAAGTGGCTCTGAAGATAGAATCTAGGCAATCCCGAGAAGTAAAAATGGGGAATAGGGGTCCTAGAAGAGGCTTTCTAGGGTCCGGGCGTCAGCTAGCGCCTGGTCACTGGGACCAGCTGCATCTCGTCGGGCGCATCCGGCCCATCCCCCACCTTGCCCCCCACGGTTCTCAGGAGCCGGCCACACCCTCCTTCTCTCACCCCTGCCCACCCCACCCCGCCAGGCCGGAGGCAGGCGCGGCCCCTCTGGGAATGCCGCCTCCGATTTCCCCTCCGATCTACAGGTGCCGGTAAACAAAGTGCTGCAGCGACACCGACTAGTCCGCAGCCGCCTCCCGCCTCCCCGCCCCCCACCCCGCAAAGTTCGGCTCAAGGTTAAGCCGGGGTTTGGGCGGGCGTCCGCCAGGGCCCCTAGACCCAGCTTCTGGACTCTCCCCTCTGCTTCTCAGGCCCCCCGGCCACAGATTCTTCCCTCGGGTTGGGAGCCCTCCCCCTGCCCTGGGTGGCCCCCCGCCCCCAGGTTGATCCAGGAAAATGAGCCTCGGTTGGTAAGAGTGCCTCTCCGCTTGGGGACCCCAGAATCGGATCTGGCAGCCACCCGGAGGTAGCCTCGGACATTTTCACTGCTGTCACCTGCCCTCCATTACGGACGCACCTTTTACCATCTCACCTTATGAGCGTTGCTTGAACCCCCCAACTCAAGGCCACGGTCTCTGCCCCTTCTGTCCCCCTCCCACAAAGCCCAAGGTGGGAACAGTGGGCACCCACGCTGTAAGGCGCTACCTTCCCCGCCAGCCCCACCCAGACCTGTGCCTTCTGCAGTGCCCCGTATGTGGGGCCCGCCGCACCCACCGGGCTGGGGTAGGCCCGGGGACGGCTCACAGGACGGAGGGGGCGGTCGGGCCCACAGCAGCCGGGGCCCCAGTCCTCACACCCCACACCCCATCTCCACGCCCGGCCTGCGGGGAGACCCCGTCTGGAGCGCGCGCACCCGGAGCGTCTCCTCGCCTGGGACTTGCTCTAGTGGGTGCGAGACTGGGGGTCCCAAGGCCGCTTCCCGCGGGGACCCGGGAGGGGGCCCGGGCTGGGACTTTCTGGGTGCTGTTTACTCTCGCCGTGATTAGCCCGCGGGGCTGCGGGAGCCTGGGGCTCCGACGCGCAGAGACCGCTCCTGCGCTTTCCACGCGGGGGTCTCCACTCCGAAGCTCGCTCCCCAGACCTCAGCCCGAGCCCTCGGCCCGCGGAGCCCGGCGAACTTACGTCTCGGAAGCGGTTCCAGTGCTTGATCTTGCCGCTGTACTGAGAGATGGACGACAGCCATTGCTCGTCCTCCATGAAATTGCCGGGGGTCTCGCCCTCCTTGAGCCCTTTGGCGTCGCCTTCGGCCAGAGCGGCTGCGGCGAGCAGCAGCAGCGGCAGCGCCAGTCGCCCGCAGCTCGGGGCGCGCATCGTGGTCTGGGTTGGTCTTGGGGGGGTCTTGACTTTTGCAGGATTTAAACGTCCTTCCCTCCACCCCGTTGTTGGCGAAGGAAATGCTGCTGTCCTCAGCCCTCCTCCTGCGGTCTGACTCTGGTGACTGACGGAGGGTGGGTCGCGGCTGAAATGTGACCTGGTTAGAAGATGCACTTGTCTGAAAAAGCCCAGCGCCGGACGCGGAGGGAGAGAGAATCAGAGAGGCTGCGCCAGCAGGGGCCGTGTCTGTAACTGTAGCATCGGCATCACGTTTGACATCATCATACCTGGCTTGGGGGGGGAAAAAAAGGAGGGGGTAGATTTCAAAGCGAGCGCAGGATCAGAGCGCCCATCGCCAGCCAGCCGCAGCGCAGCCCAAGCGCTCAGGGAGTTGCAGACCAAGGAAGCAGAACCCCGAAATGTCCCTGCAGTCTCCCCAAGGGTGGAGAGAAGGGCCCCGGGATCTCCCCAGGGAAGATGGGGTTGGGGAAAAGACGCAAAACTCTCCGGTTACAAACCCAGCCAGGCTCAGGTGTCTAAAAGGGAATTTGGCCACAGACTGTTTTTCCTACCCCTGCCTCCCACCCTGAGGGACCTGCGCCACAGCCCTGACAGCTGGCTTCCTGCGAGTTATGGCTCTACCGTAATGGGTGGCTTCCTTAAGACAAAAGCCATATAACAACTGGCTGCCTCAGAACTATTGCTGCCTAACCCCTCCTGCTCTTTTCAAGGCAAGGCCTGGGCACTGAATTGCTGGTGAAACAGGGGCAGATGTCCTCCTCCCCAAGCAGCTGTGTAGGGTCTGTTACCCTTTTGTTAGCTCTTCTTAGGGCAACCCTAAAAGGCAAATGTCTGGTCATTTCATCTGCCTTGAGGCTGCAAATCTGGAAAAGGCACATTTGCTTGTGGTTTTGACTTTTCTTCATTGTAATAAGCCAATAGGGAAGGAGATAAGATGGGGGTGGCTGGTTGTGTTGGAGGTTTTAGGTTTTTTTTTTTTTTTTTTTTGTTAAAACTGTGACCCTCCTCATTGCTCATAGAAATGTGCTCACATACCAGCTGGGAAGGCCGGAGGCTGGGCAGAGTCCCAGGATCAGAGCAGAAATGAAGGTAAGGTTTACATTAACAATGAATTGCAGAGGAAACAGATAATCGGACAGGACAAAAATATTGAACTTTTGGGACCCAAGCCCTGGATTGTGTTTTCATAAAAGACTTGGCTGCTGTGATCTTAAAAAATCAAAGGCAATGAAAAACACGATTTTAATCAGAAGGAAAAAACAGGTTACAAGGTTTATAGTCACTCAGAGTCCTGCCTGTTTGGGAACTTTTAATGTTTCAGTGGTTGGGGTTGGGGTTCCCTTGGGGAAAAAGAAAACAATAGCTCCCTTTCCGTGTATTCTTGTTTCCTTTGCAAGTGGATCTAGTGGTGGAATTGCAGCAGGTCCTGGCCACCGATGTCTTCATTTCACAATAGATGGGTGGCTGTTGTGCTGTGTAGTAGAATAATACAGCTTATTTTCACATAGCCTGGGGGAGGTAGGAGAATCCCATTTTCTTTTTGGCAGGGGCAGGAGGTGGGGGTATACTGGGGTTTGAACCCAGGAGCACTTTACCACTGAGCTACATTCTCAGCCCTTTTTGTTTGTTTTGGGACAGGGTCCCGCTAAGTTGCTGAGGTTGGACCCGAACTTGTAATCCTTCTGCCTCAGCCTCCTGAGTGACTGGGATTATAAGCATGTGATGCAGTGCCCAGCAAGGATCCCATTTTCTATCTATAACTAATGTTAATACCACTAATGTCATAAGATTACTGTGACATACTAAGTGGGCATAATGGGACATTTAAAAAGTAAGTTCTTTCAGGTTGGAGGGCCCTGATGTCCCCATAGTTTTGAAGACTTATCAAAATTTGCCATCTTTTTCAACCCTAACCTTTTAGCAAAGCTAACTACATATCTCTAAGGCAGTGATGCCATAGCTCTGGTATCATTTTAGAAAGCCCCTATCTGCTAGAGTTACCAGAGTTGCCTATTAGAGTTTGGGTGCTGGGCACTGTGGCACACATCAGGAAGCTGAAGCAGGAAGATTGAAAGTTCAAGGCCAGTCTCGGCAACTTAGTGAAATCCTGTCTCAAAATATAAAAAGGGCTGGAGACATAGCTGAGCACTAGAACACTTGAATAGTATGGGCGAGGCCCTAGGCTCAATCCCCAGTCCCCTGCTCCCCACCACACACACACAGACACTCAAAAAAAAAAAAACCAAAAAGTTTGGTGAGGTGTTGATAAGATGCCCATCAACAAGACCAGAGCTGTGTCCAGACCCGTTAAGATGAGAATGTTTTCCACACTCCTAAGCAGCTTCTCCAGGGAACCTGTCTTCCCCCACACCTTCAAGCTGGGTCAGTATTAGCAAAAAACCACAGCCCAAGATCATTAGCTGGCCAAAGGTAAAGCTATTTAAAAGGCAGAATCCAAATTTCCAGATTGGCTATAAGGGCTGTAAAAAAATGGCCAATAATTTTAGTTTATAAAAAAGAAGAAAAGTTTTTCCTAATATATGTGAAAATTACTGGCAATTCAGCCTTTTCAAACCAATGGCCCCAAACATGAGGAACTGGTGGGTGTATTGGCTAAATGGTAAATGTATTTTATGCATCTTTCTGTCTGCATTTGAATAGTTAGCAATATAAAATGAAGGGTATCTTACTCTTCCAATAAGAAACCCAAATTTAACAATATCTTAAAAGCCATTTGGTCCCATGTCTAGATGACACCACAAGCACCAAAAAAAGATACATGCACAAAGACATTCACTCCAGAATTATTCATAATAGCTAAACCTAGAAACCAATTCAATGTCTATTACTCTGGGATCGACTAGTTAAAAACATACCTACAAAGGATTGTTAAAATAAAAAAAAAAAGACCTACAAGGGACTATTGTGCAAACATTAAAATAATGATGTAGATATGTATACCCTGACAATCAATGTAATTAACTACACATTACTGAATAACAAAAGCTCATTGCAGACCATGTATTCGGGGCTACAGATGTAGTAGGTCAGTGGTAGAGTATTTCTCTAGCATGTGTTAAGTCCTTGGGTTTAATCTGTAGCACTGAAAAAAATTTTTTTTTGTTAGTCAGCTTTGTGTTACTGTGACAAAATACTTGAGATAATCAGCATTTTTTGTCAAATAAGTTATTTAAGAACTTTGCCAAAAAAAGTGTTTCTGAGAAATAACTTAGGAGGTATAAATACACAATGATAAAGCAAAGGCAAACAGAAAGTAAATTACAAATACAATAGAATCACATAACTAAGCCCATCTGATAGTTTCATTAACTTCTTGCTGAAAAGATTTTGAAAATGTCAGGGAAGATCTGTTTATATTCTACTTAGATTCTTTTCTCCTTGAGCTGTCCTGATGTGCCACTCTACATCCATCCCAGCAGTCACATGACCAGTCAGGCAAACAAAATAGAGAATGCTCTGAAATCGTCACATTCTTGTATCTGATTCTTTGATATTCTCCTATCAGTCACTGATGATCAGTAATTGTTATCTTCCTCCTCAGCAGTTATCACATAGTAATTGTTTTACAATTTTGTCTACTTTTTTGCTATTTTCTTCATGAGAGTGGGCACCTACATGTCCTTAGTTCCCATTATAGTACAGGGCACAAAGTACAAGACTGAATAAATGAATTACTTATTGTAATGATTGACACCGTTACAACCTACTTAAAATTTAAAGAACAAAATTTTCATAAACTATAGTTTTTGCTATGTATATCTTAAAATATAGGACATTTTAAGACACTATGACATGTCTACTACAGGTTTCTATATGCAGGAGAAGATGCTTTTCTTTTTAAGTGTGTTGACAAAGCTGTCAGCACTGTCACTCCAGTGAACCTGTGCTATTACAGAGATCAATGTATGGCAGAGAAGTTTCAAGACCACATAATTCCTGTGAGAGGTAACATTATACAGGTTGATTCAATCTGAAAAAAAGAAACCCTTATTGCAGGGCTGTTCTAGAATACTCCTATGATTCGCTATGAAGCATCCTTTCTGGTGGAAACCTCATGTGGGGGTACTGTCTGTCATGGAGGCTATAAAATAGTCTGTTAGACTTCCAAAATCTGGCCAGTCATCAGATTTATCCAGAGTAGAGGCAAAGTTTTAAAATACACTTCTCTAGCCAGTTATGGTGGTGCTGCCAGTATCCTAGCAACTCAGGAATCTGAGGCAGGAGGATCACAAGTTCAGGGCCAACCTCAGCAACTTAGTGAGACTGTCTCATAATGAAAATTTAACAAGCACTGGGGATGTAGTTCGGTGGTAGTGCACCCCTGGATTCAAACCCCAGTACCTAATAATCGTAGCAGTACTAGTAATAGTGATGCACATGCCTTAGCCCACACCATCTAAGTCATCTCTTGGTGAACTCTAGACTCCTGTGGGAGTAAAGCCTCCCAGCAGTCACATGACCAGTCAGGCAAACAAAATGACTCTTTATTTCATGAATCAAATCATGCATTTAAGTTGGTCAACAATACAAAAGCACAGCAGGCTCTTTGAAGTCACAGGATTCCTAAGTGACTTTGCTGTTGACGGAGACATTTGCAGGTTTCAATCCACGGTCAGTTGGCTCCGTTACTCTGGGCCTGAGGTGCGGCGGAACATCGTGGCAGAAGGACACGCAGAGGAGAGCTGTTGGCTCATGGCAGCCGGGAAGCAGAGAAGAGCCTGACACAATCAACCTTTAAGAAGATCAAGTCCATTTGTCCTAGGGTTTTAGGCCATGATCACTTGGCCCTGCTGCTCTGGCCCTGTCATGGCACTGTATGTTGAGCAGGACACAAACATGAAGCAGGAGGCCTATTCACCCCACAGCAGCCGGGAAGCAAAGAGATGAGAGGCAGCCAGGGAACCTCCAATGACCTCACCTCCTCCCATGAGGGCCCACCTCCTAAAGGTTCTACCACCTCCCAGTGTCACAGCCTGGTGATGAATCCTTCACCACACGGACCCCTGTGGGACACTTCTAAACCACAGTAATACGAACACCACGATCCCATTTGGAGGGAAGTACGGTATAGTGCAGCGGTTCTCAACCTTCCTGGCCTCAGGAGCTCTTTACATTCAGACATTACTAAGACCCCCAAAGAACCTTTGTGTCACACGCGCGCGCGCGCACACACACACACACACACACATGTTCTGTATATTGATCGATACAGATGTTTACTGTACTTGAAAATAAAATTTTTTATGAAC